GCCGTCGCTTGATAATTCACAACTCCATTTATCTTCAGCTGTTGATGGTTGGAATTGTCCGAGGGAAGAGTAGAGAGCTGCAAGGTCAGTGATGTTTGGGCTATTTTTCCAATTCCATTCCATTCCAGTAATCTTCGCTCTATCCTCCACAGAACATCTTTTTTTCCTTTCCAATTCATATAGATTCGGGAACTTTTTCCTTTAGTGTTTCGTTACCTGCCCATATATTTATCCAAAATAATGTCTTATCACCCTTGTTTACCTTTTTCTTCATTATAATCTCCATGGATACGCCTACCTTTTCTAGTTCTTTATCAACCGACGCAATATTCTTCCATACTCCGGTAATCGATCGGTTGGCTAGGCGTGAGTCTTCCTTTGAGTTTGTTTTGTGAATTCCTTTGATGACCTGTCTCCATAGTGTGTTTCAATCTACTCTAAATCACCACCACCATTTCGCAATAAGAGCTATGTTAAAGGCCCGAAGAGAGCCAAGTCCGAGTCCTCCTACTTCTTTATGTTGAATAATTTTCTCCCATGCCACCCAATTTATCTTTTTGTTGTTTCCCATTTCTCCCCACAAGAATTTCATACGCATTCGTTCAAGTGAATTAATGACACCCATTAGTGCCATGAAGAGGGAGAAAAAATAAGTAGGGAAGCTCCCAAGTACTGATTTGGTTAAAGTTAACCTTCCACCAAACGACAGTAATTTTGCCTTCCAGGATGTTAATTTTCCGTTAAACCTGTCAATTACGGGTGGCCAATTTTTCTGAAGGTTCATGTTGGCGCCTACCGGAACTCTAAGGTACGTAAACGGGAGAGATGCAGGCTAACATCCAAGTGGGTCTGCCATTCGAGATATCTCACGTAGCTCTGAGCCAACCCCAAACACCCTCGATTTATGGAAATTCACTTTAAGTCCCGATGAGATATGGAAACAACGAAGTATCCGTGCCAAGTTTTTGATGTTGTTTTCATTCCATTCCCCTATGAAGAGGGCATCGTCTGCGTAAAACAGATGTGAGATCGTTTTATTTGACTTTAGGATTTTAAGACCTTGGAATATCCCTTTGTTGCAGGCAGCTTTCATTGCTATATTGAGACCCTCCATAGCAATTATAAACAGAAATGAGGATAGGGGATCTCCCTGCCTTACCCCTTTCTCAAGTGAGAATTCCTTTGTGGAAGAGCCATTTACAAGAAACGATGACCTGGATGAATTCAGGCAGCCACGAATCCAATTACACCATTTCATACCATACCCCATTTGCTTCATATTTGAGTCAAGAAAACTCCAGTAAACGGAGTCAAACGCCTTATCAAAGTCAACCTTGAAGAGTAATATCTTCTTTGACCAGGAGCAAATTTCATTTACAATCAGAGGACCATCAAGAATGCTTCTTCCGTCTACATACGCAGATTGAACTTCATCTACAGTGAGTCCCACCACCTTCTTGAGTCTACAGGTTAATACCTTGGCAATGATCTTATAAAGACATCCAATGAGGCTTATAGGATGAAAGTCCCCTAGGGATAAAGGATCTTTGATCTTAGCCGCCAGTGTTATAAATGAGGAGTTACACCCTCTTGATAATTTGCCACTGTGTTCAAAATATTTGACAAAAGCGAAGATATCATCTTTAAGCCTTTCCCACTGATTTTTGATGAACTTGAAAGTAAAACCATCCGGACCTGGGGCTTTTTCATTTCCATAAGCCCATATGGCTGCCTTGATCTCTTCAAGTGTGAAAGGTTTCTCCAGGTTCCCACTATCCTCTTCAGAAAGGGTCATAAACTGAGACTGATTAGTTTAGGTCTTTCGGGCCAACGTTCCTTGAATTTTTGTTCATAGAATCTAAATGCTTCATCCCTGATTTCCTTCACATCTGTCGACCAAGCACCGTTGATTGTTAGGTAATATATGGTATTTTTCCTGTTCTTATTTTTCACGTGATCGTGAAAGAATCGGGTATTCTCATCCCCATCAACTGTCCATCGAACACATGATTTTTTTTTGAGATCAAGGGCTGCCCCATTTCTCCAACTCAATAATTTTTTGGTTCCCGTCCTTGCGTTGATTCGTCTCTACAAACGTCAAGGTTCTTGATTCAGCTGCCATGTCCAACGAGTCAACAAGCTTTTTAATCTGATCTAACTCTATTTTTTCTTTTGACAATGAGGTGAGTCTCCATTTCTTCAAGCATTCTTTGAGATGTTTGAGTTTGGCAGCCAAATATAAATCAGGAGTACCATATCCCCTGAAACATTGCAAAGCATTGTCTACGACCGAATTGAAATCTGCTCTTTGCATCCAACCATTAAATAATCGGAATGGCCTGGGCCCAAAATCAGCGAGATCAGTGGAAAGCAGTAATGGGCAGTGATCAGATAACTCTTTTGGCAGGGCAGTGACACATGTATTGGGGAATTTATCAGTGAAGTTTGAGCAAACTAGAAATCTATCTAATTTGCTTAATTTTAACTCATGTCGACTAAAATAAGTAAATCTGTGACCACCCATCTTGACTTCATGGAGGTCTGCTTCGAGAATAAATTGATTGAAGCTTCTAGCACTGGATTGACAGAATTGCGAGTTTATTCGTTCCTCCGGGTACCTCACCACGTTGAAGTCTCCAAATATTATCCAAGTTCCATGTTTATCATTTTTAGCCTGCTTATATTCTCCCAAAGTCTTCTTTTTTCTGGATTAGAGTGAGGCCCATAAACGTTGGCAAAAATAGTTTTTCCTTGTGTGCCCTTCCATTGGCCAATTGTGATTAGTAAGTACCTATTTTTTATAACTGTAACATCCCAAAAATACAGGCCAAAAATTTCATTTTTAAATACGTCATGATAAAACCAACATTGTAATAAAACATCTATAATATCATGTCATGTCAAAACCAAAGTAGAAATAATCAAACATATTATCATAAAATAATATCATAGTGTAATCCCAAGGATCTCATGTGCGGAAAACCATAGTGTGATGCGCTGCGATCAAGCCGGCTCCTTTCCTTTGAAAACGAGTACCTGAAACCAAAACTGTAAACCGTAAGCACAAAGCTTAGTGAGTTCCCCCATAATACCTCATACCATGCAAGCATATAACAAACAATATTCAATTAATAGATACGGGCCACGCCCACACTCGTGAAGATACGGGCCCCGCCCACACTTCGCTTTCTGGGAGATACGGGCCTCGCCCACACTCGTGAAGATACGGGCCCCGCCCACACTTCGCTTTCTGGGAGGTGCGGGCCTCGCCCACACTCGTGAAGATACAGGCCCTGCCCATACTTTGCTATCTGGGAGATACGGGCCTAGCCCACACTCCACTCTCGGAGAGATACGGGCCTTGCCCACACTCAACCGCCAACTCATATCATACAAGTATCGCACAGACAACAAGTGTAAATAATTCTATTATACTGGCATATATCATAATCAACTCAACTAAGAGATACGGGCTCGGCCCACACTCTAATACTAACGTCTCGTCTATACGCGCCGGCCTTGGTGCCTTAGACCCGTTACTACTGGAAGGAAACTCACCTCATACTGATGAAGTCCCGTAGACACAACCCCACACTGCTGAAGTCCCGCAGACTCAACCCCAGCTGCTGGAGGACAGATTCCCGAACTGTCAACACCAAAATAACACCCAATTAATAATTGGGTCCCAACACATAACCATAAATTCATACTTGGATAATTACTACATTACCCCAGGCTTGGCTTATATAAGTCCAAGGCCCGATCCATAGGCCCAAAGCGAACTAGGAATCAAAGCCTAGCATATGGCCCAATTTTCCAAATTGGGCCCAAGCCTATATGTGGTCTTATTCTAAGGCCCAACATTATACAATCATTAAGGCCCAACTATAGTCCATCTATGGCCCAATTTGGAAAATTAGGCCCAACCTCTTATATGGGACTTACCCAAGGCCCATTAAATTATTTTAGTCCATATAATTATTCTTGGATGGCCCATTAATAATCCAATCATCAAGGCCCAATAGAAAGGCCCAACAATAAACCCAAGTGAAGTTAGGGTTTCACATAAAATGTCGATTAGGGTTAAGTTTCCTACTTAACCCATTAAGGAATTATTTCTTTAAGGACTTAATCCATTAAGTCCATCATTCTTCTAAATAAGTCATATGATGTGATTGGGCTTAATCACACAATTCCATTCCAATGGCCCAAATATGGGCCTCGATAAGTCCAAGCCCATAATCCCAAATTAGAGTTTTCACATGCAATGATGATTAAGGTTTAGTGTTTCTTTCTTAACCCATTAAGAACTTAATCCATTAAGTCCATTATGCCTTACGCTAGTTTGCCAATGATTAATAATTATTTAAGATTTAATAATTAATTCTCGTGTGCCCCAAGCAATTTCCACAAATTAGGGTTTTATTTGCATTATGGTTTTCCCAACCCAAATATTAGTCCATTTATCAATTTGTTGGGCTTTTAGGTCCATTAGGGCTTTATTGGGCCTATTAAGCCCACTAGAATATCATTAAGCCCATTAGGGTTTTATTTGGGTCAATTAGGGTCCATTAAGCTTTATTGGGCCCATTAGGGCTTACAAGGCCCACTAGGGTTTCAAGCACCCCAAACGAATCAACACAATCGAGACAAGGCACACCGCCACCCGACACGGCGGCCGGTGGCGGCGGAAGGCGGCAGCCACCACCCTATGGTGGTGGTTTGATTTTTCCTTTCATTTTCCAATTGCTTTACAATTTACAATGAACCCACAAATAAACACACACACTACACTAATTAAACATGCACAACCACCCTATGGTGGCCGGCAGCGGCGAATGGTGGTAGCCACCACCTCACGGTGGTGGTGATGGCCTTCTTGGTTTTCTAGCCACACAAACCCAACCTTACATCGCAGAAATTACACACGACAAATAAAATAGACACATGCAACCACCTTGAGGCGGCAGGTGGCGGTAGCGAGTGGCAGCCACCACCTCATGGTGGTGGCGGTGGGGTTTTCTTCGGATCTCCGACCAGAAAACGTTTATGTAGCTCTAAACCATCCCAATACTCGTGCACAACATCGCAACACACACACAGCTTCACGAGACCACCAACCCAGCCACCATTTCACGGTGGCAGGTGGCTTATGCAGGCATCGGCGGGGTGTAGTGATTTGCGAACGACAGCAACGAACGATGACAGCAAAATGCGCCTTGCCTCTGACTAAAACCCAACAGCAGCAATGTCGTGGTTCCTCGGTGACGAAGGAGTAGCGATAGAAGGATCCGGCGGCCATGGGCGGCGACTGCGACGATCTCGGCCTCTCTCAGCGACTTTCCGGCTTCTCATTCGCTTCCAGCAAGAGCGATGTGGCGGCACCTAGCAACGATTGGGTTGCTGTGGCGAAGGGAGGATGGGAACGGGAGGTGGCTGCGACTGGAGGTAAAGAAATGGGAGTGGCGGCCGGCAAGGAATGCATAAGGAGGGTGACGGCTGAATCTTTTCTTTAGGGTTAGGGTTCCTTACACTTATATACCCGACTCCATAACCAAGTTTCCATAATGGCAGAATTGGTCCCTCCCCATAAGATTTCTTCATATTTAATCTAATATTTACCCTTTTACCCTGGATTTGAAAATCTTCTTCAATTTAATCCGATAATTACCTTTTTAACCCAGTCCGTGGAAATTCCCTTACATATTAAGTCCCATAAATTCCCTTACTGTTTTTCGAGGCCATAGTCCCTCGACGATGCTTTTCGAGATTGATCGTGAGTCTTCTCCCTCTGTGTGTTACACCATCAATCTTATTTTCTAAAGCAAGTTTATCCTCCACATCTAGAAACCTGATGAAAAGATAGAATTGTCCGTTTTTCCCCTTTCTGCCTGGGTAATACACGTCCGAAACATTTGTAGCATAAAAAACTTAAATTCATACAACGATTAAATGACATTGTTTCAATAAATGTTGTAAAACTCATTATGTGCTACTAAATCGGTCAACTAAGAGTAACGAGTACTAGACATGGGTGGGAAATACTCGACTACAGTAAAATATAAAGAAAACTAATTTTGCAGAAATTTAATATATTAAAATATCATAATTAAGGTGATCAAGTTCATAACAAAATAGACAGATAATAATATAGTATATACATGTTTGAATGTTAAATTAGTTCAAATAATAAACAATAATTTTGAAATTCTTGAAGATGAGTTGAGAGAAGGAGAAAGCATATGTGATATGTTAATTAATACTTTACTTTAGTTTTAGGGTTAGAATGTTAGGGCTAGCTTCAAATGTAGATGGATATTTATTGTGCGGACAATGTTATTCTGTGAGAATGACAAAGAAAATATGTTATTTGCTAATCTGAATAAGTTTAATCTTATATAATTGTTGTCATTATCGCGCATTCTCACTAATTAAATCGTGTATAAGGTTATTATAGATTTTTTAATGATTCACATTCTGTCAATATGCTTATTGAATCTTAATTCCATAAGAATGAAAATGAGTGAAAACGATGCTTGAAAACAAAAATGAATAAAATTAGTAAGAATGCCTCATAATAACGATAGTTGTATAATGTTGAATGTATTCACCATAGTAAACAACATATTTTGTTAGTCATTCTCATAGAATAGTATTGTCCACACGTCCGTACAATAGATGTTCATCCACATTATAACCTAGCCCTAGAATATTATATATTAAAACATCTATACAACAAATATCATTGTTTACAAGTTATAATAAAAAAACTTAATTTCATTCGATTATTAAATGACAATGTTTCAATCAATGTTCAAAAACTCATTAGGTTCCTACTAAATCGATCGACTGAGAGTAACGAGTACTCAACGTGGACAAGAACTACTTGACTTAGGTGAATTGTAAAGAAAATAATTTTTGGAAAAATTTTATATATTAAAATATCATAGATAAGGTGATCAAGTTCATAACAAAATTAATAAATAATAATAATAATATACGTGTTCGATGTCAAACTAAATCAAAGAAAAAACATTAATTTTAAATTTTTTCAAGATGAGGTGAGAAAAGGGGGAATCATAAATGATATGTTAATTCAATATTTTACTTTAGTTTTAAGATGTTTTAAGATTAGAATATTATATACTAAAACATCTATACAAAAAATATAATTTTTATTTTTTTTAGAATGACAAGCTTCTATATCTATGAGATGAAGCCGATAACCTTCTTCTTAGAAACACCTTCTTAAACACCTTGTTAGTCGAGTGGCTAGGTTCAAATGTTGATGAGTATTTATTGTGCGGACAGTGCTATTCTGTGAGAATCACAAAGAAAATATGTTATTTGTTAATGTGAATACGTTCAATCTTATATAACTGTTGTCATTATCGCACATTCTCACTAATTAAATCGTGTATAAGGTTATTATAGATTTTTTTATGATTTTCATTCTGTTAAAATGTTGTCAGAATGTTTATTGAGTCGTATTCTATAAGAACGAAAATGAGTGAAAAACGATGAAACATCCCCAAAATAAGACCCAAAAATTTTTGTTTAACAATTACTAAAAATACTAAGATAATATCATAAAATAAAACTCATATGTCAATATCTCAAAACAATAGCAAAATGTTATGTAGACTGTGTCAAACTGTATCAAATCACATTTATGAAAAACTAAAACATCTCCCAGGACAACTGAAATTGTGGTGTATGCGATGCCATCAACCCGAGCTCTTCCCTTTGCTTGCGGAAGTACCTGAAACCAAAACTGAAACTGTAAGCACGAAGCTTAGTGAGCTCCCCCAAACTACCACATACCATACAATACATATAAACATATACTGGGCCTTGCCCACTACATCGGACCGAAGTCCGGAACTAACCAGGCTCTTGCCCTCTGCATCGGACCAAAGTCCGGAACTACTGAGGCCTTGCCTCCTGCATCGGACCGAAATCCGGAACTAACTACATCGGACCGAAGTCCAGAACTAACTGCATCGGACAGAAGTCCGGAACTACTGAACATAGCATACCATAAACATATCAACTAGCATGAACACATAAACTGCATACTGCATCGAGCTGTAACCCGGAACACATAACACATAAATCCTGTCTGAGCCACGAAGGCATCAAACATACTAGAATCTGCATCGGACCTAAGTCCGGAAACTCCTACTAGTTAAACGGGTCGGCATTGTGGCCTTAGACCCGTTCCTACTGGAAGGAAACTCACCTCGTGATCTGGCTCTGGAAGCTATCTGCTGCTGCTCCGGTATCTCCCCGGCTACAATTCCACAAATACACTCAATCAAAATACTAATAACTGCATTGGGGTAAAATAACTCTTTTATCCCTGGCTAAAGTCAACTCTCCTTGTCAAGGTCAACTCTTCTGGTCAAAGTCAACTTACAGTTGACCTGACTCGCCGAGTTGGGCCGCCAACTCGCCGAGTCCCTACTCTCATTTCTCAACCCTGCTTGCTGCTACTCGTCGAGTATGGCATAAACTCGACGAGTTCCCATTTGATTCTAAAACTCAGACTATCTGTATCCGACTCGCCGAGTTGTATGAACAACTCGACGAGTTGTTCTTGAATCTATGAAGATTGACTTAGACTCGCCGAGTTGTACGAACAACTCGTTGAGTCCCTCCATTACTGAGTCTAACCTCCGACTCACTGAGCCCATTCTACTACTCACTGGTCCCCACTCGGAATCACTCAAAGGGGAAGGATCGGGGACTCGTGACTCGACTCGCCGAGTCCAAAGAACGACTCGCCGAGTCACATGCATGCAATTACTAAAAACTCGATTCTGCTCAAAACCACTGCATACAATATATAGATCTGAGTTCCTAAGGCTGGTTTACCACGTAAAGTTCCCAACTTTACGTGTACATATGCATACAAAAAGGATATAAAGGCTAAACAGGCACTTGGAAGAGTAGATCTAGGGCTATCATGCAAAATGGCTCCATAAAGTTTATAGATCTACGTTTTTGGAACTGAAACATGGCTAGATCCGAAAACTAATCAATCTAATATGATTTATCTACTATGAACAAGCTAAGGAATGGATAAAATGGGCAAAATATGCTTATAAAGGAGAATCAATCATAAAAACAGGAGGAATCCGATTATTACCTCAATACACTTTGAAATGGGTGCAAGAACTTGGATCTTCTTCTTCTCCTTTGGATCTAACCTCCTTCTTCTCTTCAAAACTTCAAGATTTACACAAGAAATGCTCAAATACTCAATGGAATGGTTAGGGTTTGCTAAATAATGCTTTGAGGGTGAAGGAGACGAGTTTGGGGGCTCATAAGATGGTCTAAATAGGGTGCAAACCCAGGGATTTAGGGTTTCTACCTGGCAGGCCGACTCGCCGAGTCCCGAATATGGACTCGCCGAGTTGCCAATCTATACGCTGCTCAAGATCACGACTCTACTCGACTAGTCGGGCCATAGACTCGTCGAGTCCCTCTGCAAACTTCTAAAATAAATTATATAAAAGCAACATACCAGAGACGGGTCGTTACAATTCTCCCCCACTTGACTCAAACTTCATCCTCAAAGTCTGCTACGGCTGAATCTGCAAATAACTCTAGGTAGTGCTCTTTCATCTCATCTTCAGCCTCCCACGTCCACTCAGACCCCTTCCGGTGCTCCTACTGCACCTTCACTAGCTGAATTACCTTGTTCCTCAAGGTCTTTATCTTCCGGTCCAGAATCGCGACCGGCCTCTCAATATAATTCAAGCTGCTATCAACCTGAATATCTTCTAAGGGAACAACTGCTGACTCATCCACCAAACATTTCCTCAACTGAGACACATGGAAAGTGTTGTGGATCTAGCTAAGCTCTGCCGGAAGATCCAACCGATAAGCCACCCGACCCACCCGGGCCAAAACCCTGAAAGGACCAATGAACCTGGGTCCCAGCTTGCCCCTCTTCCGAAACCTGATGACACCCTTCCAAGGTGAGACCTTCAGAAGGACCATATCGCCTACCCGGAACTCCAAGTATGAACGCCTCCTGTCGGCGTAGCTCTTCTGCCGACTCTGCGTGGTCTGTAGTCTACTACGAACCTGCTGAATCAACTCGGTCGTCTTAAGCACCACCTCCGTGCTCCCAATGACTCGCGGACCAACCTCGCCCCAACAAATCGGGGTCGTGCACTTCCTCCCACAAAGCATCTCAAAGGGAGGTCGATCAATGCTCGCATGATAACTCTTGTTATACGAAAATTCCACTAACGGAAGAGACGTATCCCAACTGCCACCGAAGTCTAGGACACATGCCCGGAGCATGTCCTCAAGAGTCTGAAGCGTCCTCTCACTCTGCCCGTCCGTATGAGGGTGGAAAGCGGTGCTGAAATGGAGACGAATACCCATCTCATCATGAAACTGCTTCCAGAATCTGGATGTAAAACGGACGTCTCGATCTGACACCACCGATACCGGCACTCCATGACGTGCAACTATCTCCCGCACATAGATATCGGCTAAC